TATTAACATACACTTTTGTATTTGTGTAGTTGTGTATGTTTGTATATATATAAATAGTAAAAATATAAGAGTGCATAATGTATGAACATACACTTTTATATTTGTGTAGTTGTGTATGTTTGTATGTATATATAAACTATATAAATAGTAAAAATATAAAAGAGTGCATAATGTATTAACACACACTTTTGTATTTGTGTAGTTGTGTATGTTTGTATGTATATATAAACTATATAAATAGAAATAACAGGATGTTAGAGAAGAATAATAAAAGATGGTTTCACGTTTTCACCTATTCCACCAATTGGAAATCACCTCATACATGTCAAATACGGAAGTGCATAGAACGTTGAGCGTGTGATTAACGTGTGATAATAAATAGAAGAAAAAAAAAAAGAAAAAAAAAAAAGGKGGAAGATCAAGAGAAGAGAAAATTTAATTATCCAATCTAACACAGATTGTTACTCTTTCAACAATAATTCACACGCTCGCACACGTTCCAAATAATAACAAATGATTATGGTAAACACAAGTTTATGCAATTAATTTGCATTAATAATGAAAATGTCGTTAGAACGGTGTTTTGTGTGTGTGTGTTTCCTTAACGATTAATTTTGATTACTTGATTACTCATTATAATAATTAAAATGCTATTAGAATAATGAAAATTATAAGAAACTTATTAATTTATACAGTATTGAGAAACAAGGAAAGAGAAAAATACAAACGTGTGATTAGATTACAGATATAATGCAGAGTGTATTTTAAAAATTGTTGTATCAAAAAACAAAAGAAAGGTAAACAAAAACATATGTTTTGAAGAATAACAAATGCATATTTTCTTTGTTCCTTTTTCAGTATCTTCTTTCTTTTCTTGAAGATATGAATCTTCATCTAGAATCCACCCCCATAGGTGTGGTGTATTTTACTAACGTCACGTGGATAGGTTTTTTTAATATTATTATTGTTATTTAAATAAATAAAAATCTAACAACGAACAAATTGATTTAGTATTCTTTTTATATTGAGTTTCAAGAATATTATTTAATAGTTTGTTTTGTTATTTATATAACTTTATATCTCGAAAAGAAAAATATAAGATTCTGATACAACTATTTGAAATATTTTGCTAAAAAAATGTATAACTTTTTAATACGAAATCATCTTACAAACAAATAATCTAACATAAGATGCATAAAACAATGTACAATGGTAGATATGTAGAAATGATTGACTGTAGATAAGATAATAATTTTTATTATCAAGTATGCGTGTTATACTCTAATCACAAATATATCTTTGTAATGTGTAATGTGGTTAAGGAAACAAATTGTCTAACGTAAAGAAATAGAAAAGCTAAGAAACTTTCTTATAGTTATTCCGATCCCTGACCCGTCCTCGATACATTCAGGATACAAAGAAATCTTCTTCTTCTTCTTCTTCATCATCTATTTCTATTTATATTTCGCGATAAATAACAAAAATTAAAACTTTTATAAAGAATAAAAGAAGAAGAAGAAATAGAGAAAAGTATGGAGAAACGATCAATTAATTATTCGATTATAATCATTATCGTTTGTACAAATTTTACAACGTTATTTTTATCTTCTTTTTTTATTTTATCAATTACTAATGATACTATCTACGAAAAAGTAGGAAGTTGTTCATTGAACCATACTATAGTTAAAGAACTTTCACGATGTACTAGATTTAAAATTCCTCTTCGAGATACATGTATGCGTTGGTTTCAAATCTATCCTAAAAATCACTACGATTCGTTTTTCTTTTCCTCTTCTGTTTTTTTTTTTTTTTTTTTAGTTGACATGACAACAAATAAATGTATGCTACGTAACGATTTGCAAGAAAATTAATTAATTATAAATATTTCGATTATATCCACCGTGTGAAAAAATCTTATCAAGTGATTCGTATGTTCGCGCGCTTTTACGCGCGAAAACATATTCATATTTAAAACGAGATCGTTGATTGGATACGATATAAATTTGAAACGGGAACATTAATATTAAAAAATAAACTTACGAATTTTGTGATCCGAATTGTTTCTGTCGTTGTACATAAATCGATCCAACTGATGAAGGATTGTTAAATGATGAGAAACTTTTTTAAGGATTAAGATGAAAGGTACGGAAAAGGATTAGGATTTAGGAAAGGTAGATCGAAGGATTGTCAATTTTTTAAATCACTTTCGAAACATCACGCGTGATTCCTTGAAACGTCGTGTCACGTTTTCGAGAAACTAGATCATTGAAGACACATGAAAGGCACAAATATATACATATTAACGTACGAACACTGACACACTCGATCGAACAATTCTGTTTCCACTCTCTATTTTTAATTTTTACACGATATACCGCGACGCACTGATACCGACGACGGCTCCAACTATACTAAAGCAACTTCACTTGGGGGATGTTTAAACGCTACTGCCATGCACTCTGACGGCGAATAAGTCGTACTATACCCGCCAATTTTAAAATGCCATAACATTTAGTTTTTATCTTTCTTTCTTTCTTTCTTAAATAATTAATAGTCTATTTTTAATTAAAACTTAAAAAATAATAAAACAAAATGAAAAAAAATCATTGAATCTAAATGTATAATACATTTGCACACAAGCAAGAGAAAGATATAAATTTATTTAAATTAAAATATATCAGAATGCATTCAATTAAATTAAATAGTATTTTAGTATAATATAATAAATAAATCTATATCGCAACAGATTACAAATTCATTTTTTTTTATACATTTATGCCAGATCGTTTGCCTTACAATTAGTAACTAAAGGATTACTACAGAAATTCTCTTTTCTGTTTTTATATCAGATATTCTTAATTAATTTCCTCCTAAATTTCTATCATTTACCACTGTCTTCTTCTTTTTCACCTAATTTCTTGTAATCTTTTATTACATTTTCAATTTTTGCAAACGTTTTCAAAAAATCATCGTCCTCTAAACCAAATTTTTTATAATGATGTAAAAAGGCAGAATGTGTGTAAGAATTCCAAGCTTTATCTAGTATTTTATTAATTGGATTATAAATATTAGAATTATTTGTAAGTAAAGCTAAGGCCTTATCATGATTTAAAATATGTCTTTGTTGATGGAAATGAGTAAATGAGTCGGTTGTAACCCAATCTGCATATAAATATTTCTCTTTTAACTCATCTGTTTTTATATCTTTATAAGTACAGTTTCCACGAGTAATTAAAACATTTGATATCGAACGACTATACAATAAAGATGGTGTAGAACAGGATGTATGAGGCAATATTTTTGTTTTTGTAGAAGTTATATCCGAAGTGGTAGAATATACTTTAAGCATTCGTTTTAATTGACACAGATAAGAATGCCACGTATTTGTACCATTATATTCAGTAAATGTCGACAAAACTGGAACAGTCTTAATAGTTGCCAATTTATAACATGGTTCTACAACTAATTTGGATATTAACGAGTGTAAATTATTTAAAGTATTACTTATTGGTTGAAAAGCTACGCTTAAATTTTTTGATATTACATCATTGATATCTTCTAATTTAACATCTACATTTGATAAATTTTTAAGCATAAAATGAATATCTTCATTCTCAAAAAGGAAAACAGTATCGGCATTGTCTAAAAATTTAACTAAAGTTAACAAAGTATTGTAATTTTGCGTACTAATTTCACCAAATAGGAATGGTAATATGATTGTGCTGACAAATAATTTATTTTTGTATTCATCTCGCATTAATTCTATTATATAGCTTCCAATTCCTGAACCCATTCCACCTGAAGAACTAAGAAGAAAAAGAAAACCATCCAAATGATCTACCTTTTCAATCTCACATTGAATAATATCTGATACCGATTCATAAAATCTAATCCCTTTTTCCATATACCCATATGCCCAATTATTACCAGAGCCCCCAGCAGCTTGACAGAAGATATTATTAGTACAATAAGTCCAATTTTCGCATTTATTATCTGTTATTTTATTTATAACTTTTTCTTCTGTATCCATAAGAATTGCTCTCGCTAATCGTTTGCCATCTTTGGTTAGCCCAGAAAACCATTTATCAAATACATTTTCAATGTAATTATAATTAACATTATATGACACTCCTGTTTTTTTAGCATCTATATCAGCAGACAGTTTTGAAAACAATGCATGTCCTAATTGATTCCCACATTGTCCAAATTGAAGAGTAAGCATATTGAAATTATTTATTTATAAAGGTTTTAAATTCTATTTAACTGTTATCAACAATAAAAGTTCTCATAACACACAGCAATAAACAAAAACAAACCAAACGATAAACATGCTACAAGTAAATGCAATTTTAAAAATAAATACACATGCGACATCTGGCCGAGAACTTTCAACCGAAAAACCCATGATTCAAACTACATAAAATCTAAGATATTCATTTTATGAAATTTATGGTAACATTATTTAATAGAGGGTTCATTTTAGGAAGGATGCATTTAAATGAATTTTTAAGGGGTACGTATTACATTATAAATAATTAGTTAAAAAGGTAACGAAATAATCTCTTGAAGTTTAATAACTGCATCACCCTTGCTACAATACCTAATAATAAATTGAAATAGATCATCCTTCAAATTTTTACAGACATAAACTTTACATGAATTAATTACATCGATTATTAAATGTTATTTGCATAATTTAAACGCCATTTGTAAATAAATCTGTTTATACACATATACATTGTATCTATAGAAGCAGGTACTATTGACACGAAGGCAAATGTACGCCGATAATACTGGCATGGCTCATAACATCATTTAAAAATTTCCATCATTTGGTTATATTTCATATCACTCAAAAGTCAATGGTATTGACAAAATTGGTAAAATAGGATTTGTTGTTTCTACTTCTAACGCTGTTGCCATACAATCGCTTGCTCCTTCTACTTCACCTAAAGACTCCAGTACTTTACCCAAGTTATACCTTATGAAATTATTTAACATTAATTTATATATAATTGCACTGTTAAAATTTTTTACGTGAAAAAACAATTATATAAATATATATGCATATGTATACCAAGTTTGATGAGAATTAGGATCTATTTTGGCTGCATCTCTCAATGTTTTCTCTGCCAACCTCTGGTTTCCCAAGTAGTGATGTATTAAACCCTATAAAATATTAAATAAAGTTATTTTAAAATATTGAAAATAATAAATATGATATTCTCATTTTAATATTATTTACCAAATGCTGCAAGCTTTTTACATGAGACGGATTGATTGTAACAGCATTCTGATAGCATTGTTTTGCTTCTGAATATTCTAATTTGTATTCATGTAATAAACCACGCTAGAGGACAAAATAAATATTATATATTGATTTATCGCACATTCTTGGCTGCCTCTGTGAAATCTTACCGTGTACATTATGTGATGACTCAATGGAAATATAGAACTGGCTTCTTGTAACGATAAAATAGCACCATTTGGTTGATCCATTGCTAAAAATACTTCTGCAAGTAACAACCAAACTTGTAATTGCAAAACCCACGCTCTTTGTGGACCAGGTTTAGGTGTAAAGGAGCTTAATGATGATGCTACTTCTGAAAGAGCTTGTTCTACTCTTGAAGCAGCTAATGATTGTGCATGCATTGAACCTATATATTTGCAAAAATTATATATATATATGTTAATTTTAAAATTTATAACACAAAAATAAAAATGCTGCACATAATTTTAAAAAGCTTTACTTGCAATACTTACTGGAATCTTTATCAGACAATTCTGATGCAAAAAATTGACATACACTTCTAATCTCACTACGCTTTTCGCTGTGTTGTTCGTTACAATTAATATTTGTTTGATCTTCAAATAAACTTTTCCAAAGTGAAAACATTTGTTTTATCGTAAATAATGCTACCTCACCACTAATACTTCGTAATTCTAAATGTGCCTTTACATAAAGAAAATTTAAATTGTCAGGATATTCTTCTAATACGCTATTGATCAAGTGTAATGCTTCTGAATATTGTTTATTAGCAGATAATAGCAATACTAATAAATGCAACGACGGAATGTGTTCTGCCCTTAAACTTAATGCTATTTTAACGTGAATCATGGCTTCATTTATTTGTCTGTTCATTGCATATTCATGTGCCAAATAGTATTCTGCTAAATGATCGTTTGGATCACATTGTTGTGCTCTGAAATTTTATAATGTTAATAATTATATTCAAAATAATTTAAACTCTTATAATATAGTAATGTGTATTATACTTTTGAAAACAATCCATAGCAGTGTCAGTATACTGTAACTTGTCTTGTTTGATAGTAGTATTTGCAGAAAGTATGCTGTGACCAATACCAATATATAGATGACACCTAGATTGCATTCCTTGAGGACTTGCAGTTTCCCTTTGTAATGCTTTGTGACTCCAATCAATACCTTCTAATATCTAAAAGTATAATACTTCATTTACATAATCTATTTCTATAAAGACTTCTATATTATGAATACATTTTTATAAATAAACTCACCCTATTAAATTGTTCATAACATAATCTTGCAGCCAGTAAACAAGGCACAGCTTTATGTGGTGACAATCTAGTTACAACTTTTAAGACCGTATAAGCATGCATGTATTTTCCTAAACTTATTAAACATAAAGCATATTGTGTCCACGTATGTGCCTCTTCATGGGAAAATTTCATTGCTCTTTCAAAGGACTGTCATAAGATAATAATACTATCATGAGAGAAAAGTAACAACAAAAATGTTGTCCTCTGTTTTAAAATATCAATATAATTATAAATGATTACCTCGTGCAGAAGTTCCACTTGATTCCACCTAACAACAATAATTGTGAGAAGATCATAAATATTAGTAGCATTCTCAAATGCTTGTATTCTAGCTTCCTTGAATTCTGGTGATTGACTTAATACTGCATCACGTACTGCCATAGCTTCACTAATGAGTAATAACAATATTAATTCCTCATATTCATTTTTTGGAAGGAACATATTAAGCCCTACGTATCTCTTTGGTTTCCATGGTGAATCTAATAATGTAAAACAATTTCAATATATTATTCTGATTTCATAATTATAAGATACAGTGAGTGAATAATAAGATACAAACCAGTTGATTCAATTATTCCTTCTGGAAGCTTGTAATCAGCACTACATATTTTTCGCAGCAGTACCTCAGCTAATTGTTTAGTCATTTTGACTCTCAAATTTTGCGTTGCTGTTGTCTCCACAGCAGACAAAACTTCTCTGTTAATGCATTTTATTTTCTTAAGTAATTAACACAATATATTAATATTAAAAAATTAAATTATTGAAAATATTTTAATAATGATACCTATAACGAGCAATAGCAGCTTGTATATTGCCAGTTTGAAGATATAACAAAGGTGATCGTTGTAATGCTGTTTCTAAAATTGGGCCAATTTGTTTTGTTACACAAACCGAAGATTGTGTAGTATATAATCCTAAAAAAATATCAATAAAATATTGATATAATATGCGATTAAATTTTAATATATGTTATATTTTAACGTGATATTATGATAGTACCTATATTATTGCTATTTACAGTAACAGATCCATTTTGCTGCTGTAGCGCAATTTTATCTTGTTCTTGTAGGTATACAAGCGTTAAGTCTCCCGCAATAATAAAACATTTAATCATCTCCTCTTGCCATTCTGCTATTCTAAATTTGGATTTAGAACTTGGAGGCAACCTTTCCAGACAGAGACCTACCATGAACAATGTGTAGATGCTAGAATAAATACTGATAAACTGTTACTTAGAAATCTGGAAAATGAATACTTGCAAAACTACAAATAACAATTTACACAATAGCATGCTGCTTTTTCCTCAGACCCCTCCCCCCCCCCACCCCACTCCCTTCTATAAATCCTACAAGCACACCTGTTTTTACTCCACAGAGAAAAGTCAAACTAACAAATGAAAAATATTTATGCTAACAATAGATGCATGAATATGTATGATTTGAAATAAATATCACGTATTGACTTAGAAATGAAAGTCAATCTGCAAACCTTTAATTGCATATGATTCAGCTATAATCCTTAGACTTCTACTAGGTAACTGCTTTTCTGTCAGAGTATGTAATTCAGCTTGCTGATAATGATATAGTACCTCTTCGTACATTCCCATTGCATAATGAAGTTTACCGAGAAGTAAATGTGCATCCAATACCACTAATGCCTACAAATATATTATTATATAATTAATGAAAGAAATATAACAAAACAAAAACGAAATATATATAAATCTTATATTAGATGTTAATTATTATATCTCTACACACAGATTAAATATATAAATATGAATTATAAAATTTATCAGAGCACATACTTGCTTATCCTTTTCGTTTGCTGCGAGAAGTAAATATCTTTTAGCTTCTAACAAACCACTTTTGGCTTTAGTTATGTTGGAATCGATAGGCGGTGTCTGTTCTAAAAAGTTTTCTAATCTTCCTTCTCCACAAAGAAAATTTGCTAAACATTCTGAAATGAAAAATATAAATCGCATACCAATTAATAGATCATAATAAAGGTTATTAATTATTTTTTCTACGAATGCTTAAAAATATATAATAATGCAGAAATAAAAATATAAGAATACTAATATTTACCATTATTAGGATATTGTGCTTTAAGATGTTCAGCCAATTCTATAACCTTTTTCCAATTAGCTTCTTCTCTATTTCTATCAATTTCAGATTCTATTCTAAGAGTATGACCCTTTTTACTAGTCATTGTGATTATTATAAAGGAACTTGATAAGCCCAAATATAAATTCCAATGTATGTATTACTCAGAATTCTGCTGAGAAATATATATGGTTTTGTAACGTCATATCATCAGTGAGAGGAATCATAATAATCATGCGATAACATCGAATGTTTTCAGACAGAATAATACATGACAAACAAAAAAGAATGAAGAAAAAAATCTAATACATAAATTGTTGACGTATACGATGATAAATAACTTACAAGAATATCGAAATGGTATGACGTTAGGTACAATGAAATTTGTTAGAAGAAAAACATTGAAAGGATTTCAATGAAAACTTAACATTCCTCGTGTTATTTACAATAGATAATGTATTAGAAAGAAAATACGATGACATCTCTAAAGATTCTTGCCATTTATAACAGATGAAAAACAATTATTGCTGTAAAGTTGAATCACACTTAAAACTTTTTTAATTAAAATCACTGCTTAAAGTAAACTTTGAACATTGATAGCTACGTTGGGTTCCACGCGTCAAATGTATAAGAAATCGTTAGATATCACCAAAATAGGCTCCAATGTAATATTAGTACAATCATTTCTTGTAAGATGGCCTTCGACGAAAATGCATCGGTATTGATGTAACACTGCATTATTGACTGCTAAAATATTTAAAATTTTTAAATATTATTGTAAACAGCACAGTATATAATCAATAAGATATCATATAAAATGAACAGTTAATTAATTAAACAATACTTACATTTAATATATATGCTATATAAATTACATCCTAAATATTGTTGATCTCGTAGCATTGAAATGCAACACTTTTTTAAACTATAACATAAAACTATAGAAAGATAACACTAAACAATTATCAACCATCGAGATGATTTGAATTAACTTTTTCTTTTATATTGTTATACTATTTAAATATATTTTTTTAAATTATTTCAAAAAGAATATTATTAAAATTAAGAAATGTCAATGTTACGTTTTATACTTAAAAAAAGAAGAAATCTAGATAACTCAATAGACAATACTACATGAATCAATTCTATAATTAATATAATGTAATAGATAAAATAATTGTAAATTAATACTTTTATGAAAATTAAAGTTTTGCAAAACAAGAATTATTGTATACTTTAATATTACTGTCTGTACATTAATTAATTTTATTAAATCATATATTGATTAAAGCAGTGGCACCACTGTAGTATGGCTGTCGTCGTATTTCCTCTTCCTTTCCCTACAGATAGCAACCATGGTAAGTTTTATAAGAATATGTACAAAACATCATATTTACAATATTATTTGAGATGTATTATTATTTATAATTTTGACGTGACATTTATAACAAAAAAAAGTGAACCTTTAATTATAATAAAAAGATATTTCAAAACATGTGAATATGTGCATAAACTTTAGTGTATAATTGTATCCACATGTTGTAAACTAAGCGTGTGATAAATTATAGCAAATTATTATTAAAGTTTTTACATTTTTTTAACAAATTAATAATGAGTTATACATAATAAATATTTGGTGGCTATAAATAATGTTTTGAAATAGTTTCATCGGTATATTCTCAATATTTTTCTAACCTAACACTTTCTCATGGGGTTTATATTAATGTTTATTTATACTAGCATTGTAATTTATTAAACGTGTACAAAGAGTATTTCTTATATTTATACTAATCATTTCATTTTAGCCTCCTAAAAAGGATACRAAGGGTTCTTCAAAGCAACCACAGAAGACCCAAAAGAAAAAAGAAGGTGGGTCTGGTGGAAAAGCAAAGAAGAAGGTTTGTAATCTTTCTTATATCTTTAGTTTTGTCTGTATAATATATTACTTATGGAAATATTATCTTATGTGATGATAATTAGTCTTGCTTGACTAACCATGGAAGCAAAAATCTGATTTAATGAGCCTGATGAGATATATTTCCTCTTTGCTAAATATATTACATTATATATGAGTGTGTAAATTAATATTTTTTCAATTTTATTCAAATTATAAATTGATATGTGTCTTTATTTTTGCAGAAGTGGTCCAAAGGAAAAGTTAGAGATAAATTAAACAATCAAGTGTTGTTCGATAGAGGTACATATGACAAATTGTTAAAAGAAGTACCGCAATACAAATTGATTACACCATCCATTGTAAGTGAAAGACTAAAAATCCGAGGATCTCTGGCAAGAAGAGCATTAATTGAACTACAACAAAAAGGTTTAATCAAACAAGTAGTTCAACATCATGCTCAACTTATTTATACCAGAACAACCAAGGGAGATGATCCTGCATCATAGAAATAATGTACTTTATACAGATTAAATAAAAAGTTAATATTCTTTATGGTAATTGTCTGAATAGATCATCCTTTATAGTTATAGCTTTCTAATGTAACTAATAGAATATATAATAACTCTATAATAATATAAGAATCATTTTTCGCAAGTACCGTGCTAGATATTTAAAGGTTAAAGAAATTAAAAGTTATTCAATTAAATATATATATATATATATATATATATATATATTTGTGAAAATTTAAGAAAATTGTTATTTTCTACTATCTAAATATTACATTTTATTAAATGAGTCAATTGCTTTGTATTCTATTTAATTTTTTTCGATACTTGCGTAATTCATTTTCATATTTTGTCATCTGTGCATAAAATCTTATGCACAATATATGAATTTTAATTTTTTTTTAAATCACCGGTTATTATATATTTCTAAATATTATTTCCATATGAATTTAAAAAGAAATTATATTAATTAAAGTAGTGGCACCACTGTAGCATGGCTGTCGTCGTATTTCCTCTTCCTTTCCCTACAGATAGCAACCATGGTAAGTTTTATAAGAATATGTACAAAACATCATATTTACAATATTATTTGAGATGTATTATTATTTATAATTTTGACGTGACATTTATAACAAAAAAAAGTGAACCTTTAATTATAATAAAAAGATATTTCAAAACATGTGAATATGTGCATAAACTTTAGTGTATAATTGTATCCACATGTTGTAAACTAAGCGTGTGATAAATTATAGCAAATTATTATTAAAGTTTTTACATTTTTTTAACAAATTAATAATGAGTTATACATAATAAATATTTGGTGGCTATAAATAATGTTTTGAAATAGTTTCATCGGTATATTCTCAATATTTTTCTAACCTAACACTTTCTCATGGGGTTTATATTAATGTTTATTTATACTAGCATTGTAATTTATTAAACGTGTACAAAGAGTATTTCTTATATTTATACTAATCATTTCATTTTAGCCTCCTAAAAAGGATACRAAGGGTTCTTCAAAGCAACCACAGAAGACCCAAAAGAAAAAAGAAGGTGGGTCTGGTGGAAAAGCAAAGAAGAAGGTTTGTAATCTTTCTTATATCTTTAGTTTTGTCTGTATAATATATTACTTATGGAAATATTATCTTATGTGATGATAATTAGTCTTGCTTGACTAACCATGGAAGCAAAAATCTGATTTAATGAGCCTGATGAGATATATTTCTTCTTTGCTAAATATATTACATTATATTGAATGTGTAAATTAATATTTTTTCAATTTTATTCAAATTATAAATTAATATGTGTCTTTATTTTTGCAGAAGTGGTCCAAAGGAAAAGTTAGAGATAAATTAAACAATCAAGTGTTGTTCGATAGAGGTACATACGACAAATTGTTAAAAGAAGTACCGCAATACAAATTGATTACACCATCCATTGTAAGCGAAAGACTAAAAATCCGAGGATCTCTGGCAAGAAGAGCATTAATTGAACTACAACAAAAAGGTTTAATCAAACAAGTAGTTCAACATCATGCACAACTTATTTATACAAGAACAACTAAGGGAGATGATCCAACGGCATAGAAATGTCATTTGTATGGTTGATTAATAAATTATGTAAAATGATATTCCTTACAAAATGAATTCCTCCAACTGATAATTAACAGATTATCTAACCCAATTCCAAAATCTCTGTAACCTTATTTATAATGATAGTTAGAATTTACTCCAAATGTATTAGAAATTACTATTCAAGTTTCCTATTTTAATTAAAATATAAAACATCTAAAAATTAACTATATACCAAAGATGAATAATAATAATAAATGCATAAATAATGAATTTACAAAAAAGTAAGAATAAAATCTGTTAATCATAATAATCTATCGATTAATATTAAATCACATGCTTTCGTTAAAAAAAATATAACAAGTATAGAAATAAAAAAGTCCAAGAGAGAAAAAAAAAGAAAAAGAATTCTCGAATTTCATGTAAAGCTAGTTACGTGGCGCCCATACCATCTCCATGTTAGTTCGTCCCTGAAAATATGAGTTTGAGTGAAGAAGGTGCGGCTGTAAGAAAGAGATGGAAGAAGTAACAAAATTGGTGGTGGGGGAAGTAGTTCGCTACGCGCATACCGAACTCGGGCCGCCGCCGAAGGTTGACGATTGTCTTCGTTCGTGAGTACTCGTCGAATTTTCAGTCGCGTAGCCGAGCTTAACCGAGCGGGAGTTTTCGTGGAGTATCGGTCGTAGATCGTAAATCGTGTGATCCTGTATCTCGTTTCCTCGCGCTGTGTGGTAGTTAGAAGAATATAGTGGTGGGGGGCGTTATACTCGGGGAGAAATCTCGAAGTAAAGGAGGAGAGAAGTGAAAGAAAGAGAAGAGAACGATCCTTCGAAATCTACGTATATCCGTCGTGTTACCGTATCCGGAGAAGAGAATTTATAATATCGTATTCGCGCGACGACGAAAGTTCGCGCGAATTCGTCGTCGTGGTCGTCGTAGTCGTGGTCGTGGTCATCGTTGTGTTCGTAATCGTCATTGTCGTCATCATAACTGTTGTTATCATTGTTCGTGAAAAGATTAAGATTATTATACGATTTTAAAAAAAAAAAAAAAAAATAGGTTACGAGTGTTACATAGTTAATATTTAAAACACGTGAATATATAAAAGTGGTACCATGATACATTTTTGTGGATCTAAAGATACAACGTTTTGAAGAAGTTGATCAAGATAGTGTAAAGAAAAGAAGAGAGCAAGAAGAAGAAGAAGAAGGAGGAGAAGAAGAAGGAGGAGGATAGATCGGGGTTTAACGAAGAATAAAGTTTGAAGAAAATAATCAATTCAAGAATAAAAAGATGTATTCGGATGGTCACGAAGTGGACGGCAGCTGGGTGCTGCGAGTCTACGTGACGGATCTGCAGGTGGAGAGGAGCCTACGCGTTAAGGGAGAATTGCACATCGGTGGTGTCATGCTACGTCTTGTCGAGGATCTCGGTGAGTCGAATAAATTTCATTGTAATAAGAGTATTTAATAACAAGGCTCGTGTTTCGAATATTCTCTCAGTTGATTTCTAAGTAAATCATTTCAATAGTTATTTCATTTTTAACACTAGTCGAGTTTAACATATTTCAAACTTTTCATGACGGTTAGTTTTCTTTTTTTTCAAATATATTCTCAATATTTCTTTAAATCGTAATATTAATTATATATATATATATCGATAAATTTCAAATAAATTTTAGTAGGATCAAAATAAAAAGTACAAAATTAATTTGGTAACTACGATGATCACACACACACACACAGTGGCGTTGATCATTCAACATAGAGGCAACAAGTTGCGTCGTTATCGGGATCGATGCAGGGCCGCACTTACAATTCATTCATTCTTCTTTCTTTCTCTCTATCTATCTCTCTCTTTTTTTTTTTCTATCAATCTATCTTTTTCTTTTAATCTAAATAAACTACAAACGTTTATATATATATGTATATAATATCTCGATCGTCTTCATTATCCCTCGTAATATATAGTCATTATTTGAATTTTTGTTTTCGTGTCATATTTGTCGCGTCTCCTCCTTTCGTTATCCCAGGGACGCGAAACATGTTAGGCAGAGGAGGCAAACAAGCAAGCAAGCAAGAGAGTGGAAAAACTGGATGCACCGAACTAGTTTAACGACGTGTAACACGACAACGGATATCGTTAAACGAACACACACGGTTGCTTTAGTTTACGTCTTTAACCCCACCACCCACTCCCACAATTGTACTTTCAATTCTTTTGTATATTGAATTATTTGTAGCATACCAATTAACGAAGATGCGTAAGATAAAACGTAGGTTAAATCGTTGTAATCGTATCCTTGACATTTTTTGTCTCTTGTTATATGCATTTCTTTTCTCTTTCTATTCTTTTTCTTCTTTTTTTTTTTTAAAATCAACCTCTTTCCAGAACCTTTTTTTTATTTTTTTTTGATAATCGTAATAATTGACGACAAAATGATGAACATTTTAAAGTAATGCATTATTGTTAATTGATATTAGAAACTACGTGAGTAGAAGTAGTAATGCAACAGTTATTTATTATTTAAAGTAATAGATTGAAATGATTTCCGTTTTATAAACGCCATACGCAAGAAATTATTAATAACATATTGCATGGTATATACATCGTTACGTAATTATGTCGAGTTTATAATCCCCGAGGCACATATCATTTAAATAAAAGAACAAAAAAAAAGAAACGATTGTTCGCATGTAAATGAGATTATATATCTTTGATTAATCGAATATAATTGTTAATAAATAGAACAAGGATTTCTTTTTCGAAATTTTTATCTCTTTCTTCTAATTGGCTTAGCCCCTTCCCCAAATGTGCGCCATGTTTTTTTTATTATTATTATTTTACGTGGATCACAAGCCCGGGAATTTTTAAATCGACACGAGAACGCGATTAGTAAATATTTCTTTTTCGCATAAGTTAACAAACAATTATCCTCGCGAGTGAATCATATTTTTTATTTTATTATATGTCATTACGATATTTTTATATTATATTGTTTAAAAAAAAAATAAAAAAGAGAAAGAGAGAGAGAAAAGATATTTTTAGGACGATGTTTATAAAAAAATAGAAAAAGATTTTGCTAAAGTTGCAAAATACAATAATACTATAAAAATAATAAATTTATTATTGTATTGTGTATGTATATCAAATTTCAAATCGATCGATTTCAATCGACAAGGGGGATCACGTTGAAGCTTTAGAAATTCTAGATTGAATTGATCTGACAACTCTATCCGTGGTATTACGAGAAGAAGAAGAAGGGTGATCCTTTTTTTTTGTGTCACGTCACGCTTCGGAAAAATAAGATACACAAAACAATCTTGATTGGAAGAAGAGTAGATGAGAGAGAGAGAGAGAGAGAGAATGCATAGTCCTTTTAAGGGAAGGCGTAAAATCATGTACGATGATCATCTATGATAAAAGTCTCGGTTTAGTCTAGTCTTGTTTTACATTGTGTGTTGTTATATTGTCATTAATTTTTACTACTGTTACTATAATACTAACAAGAATTTATTTAACGATATCAAGTCACACACACAAATTACCATACATTATTAAAATATATATGTACAATAAAATGTCAAGGATTAATTAGCATAGATGGATAGGATAAACGAAATGTATAATTAAAACATTTTTTGTTTTTATTTATTTATTTTTTTATAGTAATATAAATGCATATACTTATGCATACTATCATTGTATTAGATATGTATTTACAAATTATGTACATTGTTGTAGCAGATTTTAATTGCTTTATATTAATGTTGCATTTAATATGTATCTTTTTTTGTAATTTTTGTTTTTACTCCAATTTTATTTTGTTACAAATGATCAGTTTATTTTAAAACATTGTAGAATATGATTTATAATTGCAACGTTTTTCTATGATTTATTTTCTTTTTGTTTTTTGTTTCATTTAGTATCAATTTATTGTTCACTTTTATTGTATATTTTATTTAATAGCAGGACACTGCAAGCATGAATAAAAAGTCAAGTAATATTGATAGAAATAATTTAATATAAATATTAAAATATGAATAAATTTAAATTCTATTGGAACGTTTGTTAAAAAAAAAGAACATAATCGAAATCTTATTGTACTTATTACAATTTAACAAATTTTCTATGAAAACTATTTTTCATTTCTTTATGTGTGGGTTTTCCCTTTTTTTATTCTTATACAACGTAACATTGTAGTAGTTTGCTTTTGACCTGTTGCTAGGTTTGAAAAGAATGAAACGAACGTTTAGGTAATAAAAATTCGTGGCCTTTTCTCATCGTTTTGACCCAAAAGAAAAAAAAATATATATTTCTCACGATCGAATAAACGATTTCCTTTTTTTTTCATTTCCGTGAATATGTTTTTATCGTTAATCGTTTATTATATATTTTTTCCTTGAACTTTGAACACATTCCTCTAGCACGATTTAATAATTGCACACATATCTTATTTATTTTTGTTTTTTTTTGTTTCTTTTTTTAAATTAAATTAAAAAAATATAGTCATTCCAATCTCGCCCACGAAAGATTTATTAACATGAACGAAGGTTACTCGGTGTCCCTGTTGACCTCGGCCTAAAAAAATGAAAGCCTTCAGTAGGTATAATTTTATTGAACAACAACAAAAAATATATATATATATATATATATATATAACGTGAAGAAGAAAGAGATAAAATGATTCGAATTAATATAAAACTCTTTTTCTCTTGCAAATATTATTCTTTTTAATCTTGACTTTTGTTTTTTTTTTTTTTTATTTCTTTTGCTTTATTTTCCCGTCTCGGTTTTATTAATCGATCAATGATTTATCAATGAGAAAAAGATAGCACACCGAAAGAGAGAGATTTAATGAAATTTATCGTAAAGTCTTTAACAAATATGTAAGAAATATTTTATTATAATATATTGAGATATATATACTGATATTCATTCAATCAAAATGTGAGAG